TTATTTCTTCAGTTTGATCTTTCCACCAAAGCTCGAAGAAAGACATTTCAGCGTAGATGAAACGCATATCACTCTAAATGAAAATTTCGTATAATTTTACGGTGGATGAAGGATATGGATAAAAATTGTAGATGTAGATTAACTGACAAATTCCTCTTGAGTCAAGCTGTGGTACATCTCATCTAGGATTTTCTTAGTCTGCGACAGATAATACTGTTCAAACGTCTTGATCCAGCCTAAATCAGATGGGATTTTGAAAGTGAAGAGAATACACAGATCAAAAAAAGATATGAAACAATGGAATAACACAGACGAATGAGTGCAAAAGAAGGCATGACACGAACCAGGATCACAATGGGAGTGTGGTACAACCACAACCTCAAGTTTCTTCTCACGCGCAACTTTGTCTTGGTCGTAGGTGACGTCCCAGCCTTGCTTCCACACACCTCCGTCGGGATTGTCAAATGTTACCACTTCGTAGAGATCCAACATCTAAACAAGAGTAAAGTACAATGATTTTTCTTTCATGATGCCTCAATGACGGTGAACAGTAGAAGAATCCGAGAATGAACCCTTCTTTTTCAAGCAGCAAAATCTAAACGAAATTCGAATCCTGTATCTTCTGCAAAATTTTTAAAAGTCTCTAGTCTCTTTGATTAAGTATGCGACAGTGGAACCTCTAAAGTTGATACTTATCTTTGATATAAATGAGAGAAAGCATGAAGGCTAAACGGGTAAAAGGTCAAGTATAATAACGAATCGATCAAACGCGAATGAGGAACAAAGAAGAGTCCAGGAAAATTGATCTCAAGCTACTCCCACCTGAACGTTTGTCTTGCTGTTGACGTAGTCCTTTCTCAATTGACAAACAGGGAGCGTTGATTTTGTGGTAGCCTTATGAAGAAAATCATGGACCGCAGCAACTTTGTTGCCTAGAAATGGGTTGATTATGCGATAAAAGCTGGTTAAACTAAGAAAAATACGTGAAAACTTCTAGATACAGCAATAGTATGAAAGCAAAGAGTAAAACTGCATTAGCAAACCTCTGTTGGGTTCTGGACCAACGGCCTTTTCCTCTTCTT